AAAAAAAAATTCCATTACCTATAGGATAAACCACCAACTCCTTGATCTTCAACTTTTTTGCAATGTTTCTTTTTCCCATTCTCTAACATAAATATTAGCCTGTCAAATTGGTCTTGTCATTGTTCCGTCAACTTTTCCTACCATCGTTTTTCTTTTCGTATCATCAGCCTACTTTCATCTGCTTTCTGTTCTTTCCTCTATCAAAATCTCAACCATCTTTTGCATGATCCAACTCAGTTCCTTGTCTGTCAAGAATGCTGTCTGAGATTATCAGAGACCAGAGAAAACTTGACATGTTAAAAATATATACATTGTCTCTTACACACACTTGACCATCTATCAAGTACTTGGTAAATGTTACTAAAAATTTTCTTAGGTTTTCTGGTTGGTTTCAGCTATATAAGTTCCACGAGAGTAGAGGCTATGTCTAATTTATTCACCACTATGTCCCTAGAGCTTGGAACTATTCCTGACATGTAAATATCTTTTGAATCAATAAGTCATCCTTTTTATTTCCCACAATATCTAGATGAGACCTTTTCATAAAAAGATTCCTTCATAATTATTTATTAATTACTTATTTGGCTTCCTGGCTTTATAAGGATAGACATATGAGTGAGGGAAATAATTTTCTTTGAGATGGCATGAGAAAATTGAATGAGTTCCTTTAAAAACAAGAACAAATAAAGCTTTAAAATGACTTCCAAAAAAACTTCTGTAATGTCTTCCATGTCTTTATTATTATTGTCCTATTTGCTATGTTTATTCTAAAGAAGATGTGTAACTAACAGCTAAAACCTACCAGCCTGTGATTATTAAGAAGCATTTTGTCATTCCCAATAGTTAACTAGGAATGTAATGCTATGAATTGTGTTCTCTCAAAATGTATATGCTGAATTCCTAACACCCAGTACCTCAACATGTTACCTTATTTTGAAATAGGGTTTGATATGGTTTGACTCTTGTGTTTGCATCCAAATCTCAAGTTGAGTTATAATCTGCATTGTTGGTGGAGGAATCTGGTGGGAGGTGATTGGATCATGGGGGCAGATTTTTGTCTTGCTGTTCTCATGATAGCAAATGAGTTCTCATGAGATCTGGTTATTTAAAAGTGTGGCACTTCCCCCTTTGCTCTCTTCTCCTGCCACCATGTGAAGATGTGCCTGCTTCCTCTTCACCCTTCCACCGTGATTGTAAGTTTCCTGAGGCCTCCTAGCCATGCTTCCTGTACAGCATTTGGAACTGTGAGTCAATTAAACCACTTTTCTTCATAAATTATCCAGTCTCAGGCGGCTCTTTATAGCAGTGTGAGAACGGACTAATATAGGGTCACTGCAGATGTAACAAATGAAGATGAGGTCATACTGGAGTAGCATAAGCTCCGACTCTAATATGTATGGTGTCTCTAGAGCAAAGAAAAATGTGGACACAGACAGAGACATAGGGAGAACACCATGTGAGGAAGGCAGAGATCAGAGGAATGCTTCTAGAAACCGAAAACCATAAAGATTAATAGCAAACCACCGGAAGTTAAGGAAGAGGCATGAAGAGATTCTTTCTCACAGAGAAGGAACCAACTCTGCTGACACCTCCATCTTGGAGTTCTAGTCTCCAGAATTGTGATACAGTGCATTTCTGTTTTTTAAGCCATCCCTTTGTGGTACGTTGCTATGGCAGCCCTAGCAAACAAATACACTTAGAAAATTTGTCTTTTACATGCATAAAGAGAGGACTTCAATGAGGTTAGGACGCTGTGGTATAGGCAGAGCTGTGCTCATTGTCCTCCTCAACATCTGGTTCTCCAAGCTAGGGGATAAAATCCAGCCCATCTTTGGAATCTGTGATTTCTTACAACTTCTTTGATGTCTTAAATACAGAATTACATTTGTAGTAATACAAAGCATGTTAATAATTCTCTTTTATTAAGACCCTACTATGTTCCTGACACCTTATACTCATCTTCCCTATCAATCTTCATTACCACCTTTTAAGGTAACATTTCTGCTTCATCTTACAGACAGGAATATAGAGTTTCAGGTAGGCTAAGTTACTAACCTAAGATTATACTGCTGTTTAATGGAACTAAGATTTGAGTTCATATAGATCCGGTTCCAAAGTTTATACTACTACTACTACTACTACTACTACTACTACTACTACTACTACTATAACGCACTGCAATTTTCATAATGATATGAAAACGAAACAGCTAAATGTATTAAACTCTCAGATATAATGCTATCCTTTGAGTCCTTAAACTTAGAAATAAAAAGCTCTACCTTTCTAGGTCTAGATAGCAGGTTCCTGATATACTTTTTTTTTTTTTTTTTTTTTTTGAGACAGAGTCTTGCTCTGTTGCCCAGGCTGGAGTGCAATGGCGCAATCTCGGCTCCCTGCAAGCTCCATCTCCTGGGTTCACACCATTCTCTTGCCTCAGCCTCCTGGGTAGCTGGGACTACAGGCGCCCCCCACCACAGCCGGCTAATTTTCTTTTGTACTTTTAGTAGAGATGGGCTTTCACCACGTTAGCCAGGATGGTCTCGATCTCCTGACATCGTGATCCGCCCACCTGGGCCTCCCAAACTTCTGGGATTACAGGCGTGAGCCATCACACCTGTCCCTGATATACTACTTTTAACTTCATATAGGTAAAGTTGGTTTTGTGGTAAAAGGACCCTTTGCGTTAACAAACCATGAATCTTTGTGACAGGACTATACTTCACGGAATTATTATCTGCAAAGATATAAAACATACATTTCTAACATTTCTTTTGCCACACAAGATACAATAATGCATTATCCAGTATACAAAAAACAAAATGGTTTCAGAAGAAGCTATGAAAAAAAAATCAGTGTTTCAATTCTAATAATGGAATTATCCTTAGGTTAAAGACCAATTACTTAATCTGGTTGCAAAAAATATGATAGCTTTGAATCTATAAGAAATTTTTTTAGCATCTCCAACTGGGCTTCTTTCTGATTGGTTGAAAATCTTAGAAAGACTCTGCAACCTCTGAAAGCCTCAGAGCAAAGGGTCATCAGCAACACTGTGGAAGTTGAAGATATGTACAAGTATTCCATGGAAAATACAAATGGAGCAACTTTCTTTGAGGATAACATTGATAGCTGATCTTTCTAGGCTTACTAAGGAAAATAGTAAGAAATGATATATCAGTATATTTAATATACAATGATTTCTATAGAAATATCAATCAGATAATCAATAATCATCTCAATTATTTGTTTGAGCAATTAGTTGTGCTATTTTGTAAACCTTTGCATCATTGGAAATAGAAAAAGAATTCTGAGTAATATAACTCTTTAGATAATCATCACTAAATTTTATATTTTGCTTGGCTAAGTCTGAGAAGCTTTAATCTTCTACAATATGTGTGGTAAAATGAATCTACCTCCTCAAAACTAATTGGAAAAAAAAGTTCCTTATTTTCTTACTCATCATATGTTGGGTTAACCCAGTCAATTATTGAAAGAATCTGCTAAACACTCTAGAGCTAATTATTTCACTTCAAGTAATTGCTATAAAGTGAAAAATTTTATAAAAATTACTTGAGATGCCTGCCAATTTTGTCTTTGATATGTTTGTGTAAAAATTTTTCTTTTTTTCAAGTCTCCTCAGAAATGTAGAATTCAAATAAAGCATACGTTATGTGTACATGTATATATATCTTCTAACTGTTAAAATAATCCAAAATCCACTACAATGGATAAGAGTTAATTCTAATTTTTCTCTGTATCAAAACACACTTTTAAAATATTTTATAATTATTGTATAAATTATTATGTAACAATTAGGACATGTATAATGTAAATGCAATAAATAATTATAATTTTATATGTTATATTTTGTATTACATAATTTAGGATAATTTATATTATACCAATATTATCACTAATATTTAGTATTATAATAATGTCATAATGTAATAATGTCTTATTTAGCATATAAATAATATTAAAAATATAAGATAATTGCAAAGATAATTATGAGACATTATAGAATAATGACAATAATAAAGATAAAGCCATTTTAGATTTAAAAGGATCTATTTATAAATGACATGTGACTCTATTGATGACAAAGTGTCTTTCTTTCTTTCTTTCTTTCTTTCTTTCTTTTTTTTTTTGAGACGGAGTCTCGCTCTGTCGCCCAGGCTGGAGTACAGTGGCCGGATCTCAGCTCACTGCAAGCTCCGCCTCCCAGGTTCACGCCATTCTCCTGCCTCAGCCTCCCGAGTAGCTGGGACTACAGGCGCCTGCCACCTCGTTTTTTGTATTTTTTAGTAGAGGCGGGGTTTCACCGTGTTAGCCAGGATGGTCTCGATCTCCTGACCTCGTGATCCGCCCATCTCGGCCTCCCAAAGTGCTGGGATTACAGGCTTGAGCCACCGCGCCCGGCCGACAAAGTGTCTTAAGAGAGAGAAAGTGCCTGAGAGAAAGATGTATGAATTGAGACCCAAATCAATGATGCTAATAAAATAATTTAAAATTACATATGCTATTAAGTCATTCTTCACCTTTTTCAGTCATCTTTCTCAGTCATAAAGAAACTAACCTCTTTCATTATATCTGATTTATTAAAACTACAATGTTATGTCAATAGATCAAAATGATATTTAGTCCACATTAAGAAAAATGTTTCTTCCATCTTGTTGGATCTTATTTTAGGCGTATCATAAATATGTATGCTTTCAGTATAGATAATTAAGAAAATTATCTTCACAGATACATAGATAGTGGTCATTTATCCTCAAAATGCCAATCTTTTTTTTTCTTTTGAGTTGTCAAAAGAGTTTTTGCCATCAATACGGACCTCATTTAAATCATTTGCATATTGAAAAATTATCGCTTTGGAACAGGTCAAGGGTGGCTTTACCTTTTCTCACAAATAAAAGATTTTTTATAGCATTAGGAAATAGAAAAACTAGAAAATTTAAGGCACTAAATATGGCACCGCTATTTTTGTTAAGTCAAGAACTCACATATTGTCATTTACATTTCGCAGCCATTCCTCTCTTCTGAGCTCCTCTCTGGCCAACTTTAATTCATCGATTGGTTCTGCCACCCACAACGTTGGCTCCAAAGGCTTGTAGCGTTGTTCTAATACTTCGGTGATATCTCGGAAAGGCCCCTGACAAGACAGGATGAGGAACATATTTTATATGGAAGATTTTTTTTTGACGTATTATTGATGACCAAAGCTAGTGAACATCCACAAAGTATAGCAGGTTTATTAAGTTATTTTTAAAACACCATTTGTTCTTCATTGAGTTAGAATATACATGACACAATATCACTTATTTTCAAGCAATGTTCACTCAAGTAAAATTAACTACATTAAAAAACTTTAAAATTAAACAGAAATTTCCCCACTTCCATCAAGAGATCTTCATGTTATAACTGATAAACTTACTATAGGTTGCTTTCTTTTCTAAATTTACAAAGCACATTTTGTTTAGTATAATTAAAGAAAGAATTGTCTCCCTTTTTGAGTAAACACAAATATTAGGAAAAAAATTCCAGGCGTAGCTTTCCAAGAGCCCTTCTATAAATAGAAATAGGAGAGCATGTGTTTTTTCATTAAGTTTAAATTTTTTGGTGAATGTCAAATCTCACATTTAATAGGCAGCCTCCTAAACAGAGAAGAACCATAACTTTTATTTAGTTTAAATGTTATTTATTTAAAATTGTAAACTCTATTGTTCAATTACTCTGATACCAATAGCAACCTTTTAATGACACAAATACTTAGCAGAGGAAAGTCCACAGCTGCACTGTGAAAAGTAACTTACAACATATCCTGCTTTCAAGTTAGTTGGTATTTATACTAGTTACTAAAATCCACTGGTTGTCTAATTAGTATCATATGAGGCACAATACAAATCAAAGGCAGCTCAAGATTTTGCTGTGCCATTAATTGCATATTGGGTTTTTTTCATCACTATTGTGCAGGAGAGAAGTAATATTAAATGGACAAAGATTTCTAATCACATTCCTTATTCCTAAAAATATCTTCTTTAAATAGGTTATCACTAACAAGACACAGCTGGAGTTACTGCAAGCACTGAGTGAAGACTGTGGGGCTAATAAAAAGAAATGATTCACGCCTCATTTATGTTCACTTATGTTTTACATTAATAGAAACCAATAATAGGAACCAGTTACCATAAAAGTCATGGACCGTAAATAACACAAATGGCAAATAAGTATCATCTAGTACTTTTCACAGCTGGACAGGAGGATTGCTATATTTGAAAGTAGTTAATGGATTTTCATTGGAACTTTACTTTTTAAAGATACAGTAACATGATTCCAAATCCACTATTAAGAAATCAAATGGGACTTTTTTTTTTTCTTATTCTTTTACTTTGACACAGTCTATGACTTAAAAAATTAATATTTGGTTGTATGACAAGGGGCAAACTATTTCTCTATGCTGATGTTCAGCATATGTAAAATGGAATAATAACTACATCACAGAATTTCTCTTAATATGTGTAAGATAATGTAACACCCTTACCACGTACTTAGAACACAGTAAACACTCAAAATGGTTCCCACTACATTGTTGTTATTATTATTACCATTATTAGTTTCAAGAAGAGTTTTTAAAAGGTTTGAGCAATAGTAGCGTCAAAGAAATACACAATGGCCCAAGGCTATGACTTTGAAGAGACCAGCATTCACATGGAGCAAAGGTCTTCTCGGTGGTCAAGCTATATGCCTTCTAACCTTTGTTGATAAGCAAACATAGCACATATTTACTTGTAGACTTACTCTACTATTGTTCTGGAACTTATTAGTTCTAATGAGACTAGAAAATGACAGAGAACAAGCCCTGCTTAAGATTAGAATGAAAGTAAACGCAGTCTTCCTTTTGGGTTCACTACCACCACCTTCATGATCCCTGAACTTTCTGCAGTCATGTCCAGGTCCCTGTGTCTTTGCAGTGCCTGGTCCACACATTTATACCTCAGACAATTAGCATCTTGTCTTTGAGCTCAATAGTCTTCCAGCTCCTTGGTTAGTGAACTTGACACTCCTGTCAAGTTTCTCTTACATCAAATTTTTGTTGATTTATATTTCTTTTGAAAAACTGCCTTTTTTGGATATCAGGCTATCACCTATCCCAGTCATGCCCAGAGTGACATGGGAACCCAGGTTTTGTAAATATATATCTATATTTATATATCTATATATCTATGTGTACCTTTCACCTATCAAACTTTAGATATGCTGATTGTACCTATTTCCAATTAATCCTTAGAATGACCAGATCATCCAAGACTCAACCTGACCCTACAGGTATTTCTGGACTCTTAGCTATGGCTTTTCAATGTTTAGTTTACGTTGCCTCCACCTAAGCCCTAATTATGACAGTCAAATATACTTACGTTCTGCTGTGTTTTTCATAATTCATGTTATTTATAGTCATTTTGTATTTTTAAGCTTAATTATTAAAACCATAAAATTGTCCCAGATATTTAAAAAATTCACCTGGCAAGTAGAGCTACTCTGATTAGAGTACAAGTATTATCATTTGGGCATAATCTTAAATGTCACCAATGAGGTATGTACTTTTTCATTATTGGGTAACACACAGGAATATGGCTCAGAAAAAAAACAAAACAAAATGTAAATCCCATTTTGGGAAAAAGAAAAAGAAGAAGGGAAAGAGAAAAGAAAAAAGAAGAATAGTGAAGAAAAGAGGCAAAGGAAGTAAAGAGAGGAGAAGGTGTTAAGAAAAGATGACAGAAGGAAGATTGAGAAGGAAGAAAAGATAAGAGAATGAAGAACAGGGCAGTGGGGATGATATAGCCAGAGAAAAAGGAGGAGGAACTTAAAATAGGGAAGGAAGGAGATAGAAGAAGAAGGAAAGAAAACAACAGTGAAAGAATAAATAAATACGTATAAAGGCCGGGCGCGGTGGCTCAAGCCTGTAATCCCAGCACTTTGGGAGGCCGAGATGGGCGGATCACGAGGTCAGGAGATCGAGACCATCCTGGCGAACACGGTGAAACCCCGTCTCTACTAAAAATACAAAAAAAAAAAAACTAGCCGGGCGAGGTGGCGGGCGCCTGTAGTCCCAGCTACTCCGGAGGCTGAGGCAGGAGAATGGCGTAAACCCGGGAGGCGGAGCTTGCAGTGAGCTGAGATCCGGCCACTGCACTCCAGCCTGGGCGACAGAGCCAGACTCCGTCTCAAAAAAAAAAAAAAAAAAGAATAAATAAATAATAGAAGAGAATAAAAAAGAAAGAAGAGAATATATTAGTAGGGATCACTATTTTATAGCATGCTAGATAAATGTAATTCAGGAGCATGTGTGTGTATATATATGTAAGTATACATATATACATATGCAAATACATATTTTAAAATTCCTCCATATATTTATATATTTTCTGTATATAAACATATATATTTCTCTCTCTCCATACACAGACACACACACACAAGCAAGTTGTTTTACAAATGTGTGTAATTTTCTATTTTTCTACTTATACCATATATATATATATGTATCTTCCATATGGGCTGATACACCATTTATACATATATATTTTCCATATACCTATACATCATCTGTATATTATTTCTATATATGTACCTTTTTCCTATGCATTCCATACATACTAAATACACTTATTTATATATGTCTATGTGTACATAGAATGGTATGGAGGAAGAAAGCCATGTAAGGAATGAAAATGGTTGTACAGAGGTTGTATTGAGAAACAGAGATGAAGAATGAATACTGACAATTGTAGAAAAAGACACATCATTAAAAGTATATTAAAAGCAGGGCAATAAAGCAAATGTAGTAACATTATAAAACACCTATACCATAATATTACATGTTTAATGGTTAATGTGGTGAATATTGTATAGTGTGGTAGTTTGGTTCAGGTGACTTTCATGGTGTTTTCAGCTCAGAAATATTTACATGCCCTTATTTTATTCATGCCATGTAATTTTCACATTTCCTAAAAAGTTGCATGCAAAATTATTCTATGAATTCCATGTAGTACCAATAGCTATACAAATGAATATAGCATGCAACATGGTTTATTATTATTATTATTATTTGAGATGGAGTCTTGCTCTGTCACCCAGGCTGGAGTGCAATGGTGCAATCTCTGCTCACTGCAACCTCTGCCTCCCAGGTTCAAGCGATTCTCCTGCCTCAGCCTCCCAAGTAGCTGGGATTACAGGCGTGTGCCACCATGCAAGGCTAACTTTTGTAGTTTTGGTAGAGGCGGGGTTTCACCATGTTGGCCAGGCTGGTCTCGACCTCTCGCCCCGAGATGATCCACCTGCCCCGGCCTTCCAAAGTATTGGCATTACAGGCATGAGCCACCGCGCCCAGCCACAACATGGATTATTAAAAATTTAAATATGCAATATTATGTATACCTTAACTGCTTTTGAGCAGTTAATACATTTAACACACTGAACACTTAATATACATGCAATGGAAATGCTAGAATTATTATTTTCTTGATAGAATAATAAATTTAATTGCTTGTTGATGCAATGTTATGTTATGTTATATATGCAATATGATGATTACTTACACTAATAGAAAAATAGTAATGCACATAATTCAAAATAGCAAAAATTCAGTTATTCATAATATAAAATTCAGTTTATACTTGGATTTAAAACTATTTTAAATGCTTTCACTAGAATACTGACATAACACTTATTTAAAAATAATGAAACCATACTCTGAAGATACATCCCCCTAAAAAACTGAAAATTTTCCTGCTATCTCTCTTGTGTCCCCTTGCTCACTCCACTATGCTTTTCACTCCACTTTTGTAAAGAAAAAAATGGTCAGATTCAGATAAATGGATTAGTTTACTAGGTAATTGAGAATGCTGATACATGGGCCTGGCGTGATGGCTCATTCCTGTAATCCCAGCACTTTAGGAGGCCGAGGCAGGTGGATCACCTGACGTCAGGAGTTCAAAACCAGCCTGGCCAACGTGGCGAAACCCTGTCTCTACTAAAAATACAAAAATTAGCAGGGCATGGTGGCAGGTGCCTGTAATCCCAGCTACTCGGGAGGCTGAGGCAGAAGAATCACTTGAACCAGGGAGGCAGAAGTTGCAGTGTGCTGAGATCCCTCCACTGCACTTCAGCATGGGCAACAGAGCAAGGCACCATCTCAAAAAAAGAATAAGGATATAAATAGAATATCATAGGATCTGAATCAGAGATGAAGAAAAAGAGAAAGCAGTAGAAGGGGGAAACTGACTATAGATTTTCAGTTATATTTTATAGCTCTTTCTCTAAGAGAGTATAAACCGTCAGTTAATAGTATTAATTATCAGTTAGTAGTTTTGAGAGAGCAAAAAAAAAAAAAAAGATACAAATAATGGGAATTAAGGATGTAATTATAGAGAATGGAAACACAACATATATCACAAATAATTACAGTAAAGTGGGAGACTTTTAATGAAATCGAATGCAGGGCTATCTTATTGCAAGGATGATTCAATGGTTGGGGGTATAAAAGGCAGTCTCTAAGATGACCCCCAAGGGCCCCTGCCTCCTGGTATCCATACCCTTGTATAGTCTTTTGCCCTTGAGTATAAAATAGACTTACTCATTTTGAACGGATAGAACATGGCAGAAGTGATGGGATGTCACTTCCAGCATTAGCTTTATAAGCCTGTGGCTTCTGTTTTGAAAGCTGTCTCTCTCTTTCCCTAGGATCATTCACCCAGAGGGAAGTGAGCTCCCATGTTGTGAGGCAGCTCTGTGAAGATGCCAATGTGAGGAGGGGCTGAGGCATGACAACACCCAACCATATGAGTGAGGGGATCTCACTGCCCTCCTATCCCCACCCCCTGTCTGAGCCTTCATATGAGATCACAGCCATGGCTGACATCTTTTTTTTTTTTTTTTTTAAATAGAGACAAGCTCTTGCTATGTTGCCCAGGCTGGTTGTGAACTCTTGGGCTCAAGTGATCCTCCCACCTCACCCTCCCAAAGTACTGGGATTACAGGCAGGAGTCACTGTGCCTGGCCTGGCTGACATCTGGACTACAACATCATGAGAGAACTTGAGTCAGAGGCACTCACCAAAGGCTGTACCTAGAATGATAAACCCACAGAAACTGTGAAGTAACAAATTTATGTTGGTTTAACCCATTTGATTTTGGAGTAATTTCTTATACAGCAATATAGATACACAAGGGCACGCCTATGCAGGCAGCTAACGGTCAGGAGTTCCGGGAGTTTAACTGTGTGAGCCAAATCTAACACAATGTAGTTGATACTACATGGTGGCAGCTTAATTATTGATCAGGATGATAGACCTGTGGCTCTCTGGGAGTTTTAGGATGGCGACAATCATCACTAATCCCACCCCACTCTACCCTTCAGCCTCAGGAAGTCATTTGCCAATCCTGTGGTACTACAGTCCAGTTATAGTGAAAATTTCCCATTTCTACTATGAGTCTTGCTTTGTTTTGAGCTGTCTCTAATTCTCAAATTTAGATTTTTAAAATTACTCAAACCCATGTTATGTTTAAAATGGTATATAAAGAAATATAGCATCAAATGAGAGGTTAAATTCAATAAAATTGATAATACATATATTCCCAGCAACAACAGGTTATATCAAGTAGTGGTATAACAATATTTTTACATAAAAAATCTAGATTCTAGGAAATAATCCATGTTTTAACTTCTTATTCAATATAACAAGATTTAATGCCAAAGAAGTGTTTGTTCACTTCTTTGGTATATATTAATAAATTACTTTATGTTTATTATTTAAAATTAGAGTTCGCAAAAAATAATTTTCCTCTGGTCAAAAAATGGAACAAAACAATGACCTATACATATACAGATTACAGACTGTATATATATAGATTGGTCGCCAGACTGGAGTGCAGAGGCACGATCTCAGCTCATTGCAACCTCTGTCTCCCGAGTTCAAGCTATTCTCTTCCTAAGCCTCCCGAGTAGCTGGGACCACAGGCATGCGCCACCATGCCTAGCTAATTTTTGTATTTTTAGTAGAGATGGGGTTTCACCATGTTGTCCAGGATGGTCTTGATCTCTTGACCTTGTGATCCACCTGCCTCAGCCTCCCAAAAGTGCTGGGATTACAGGCGTGAGCCACCGTGCCCGATCCTATATTTTTAAAAAGGAAGACACTATAATGGAGTAGAGAAGGAGCCCATAGAATGGGAGAAAATATTTGCAAACCAAGAATTAATACCCAGAACATATAGAGAACTCCTAAAACTCAACAACAAAAAGCAGCCCAATTCAAAAATGGGCAAAGGACTTAGAATAGACATTTCTTCAAAGAAGACACACAAATGGCCAATATGCACATAGAAAGATTCTCAACATCACTAATAATTAGAAAAATGCAAATCAAAACTGCAACAAAATACCATTTTACATCCACTAGGATGGCTACTATTAAAAAAAAAAAAACAAAAAAAACAAAAACAAAAAAAAAAAAAAAAAACAGAAAATAATTGTTGGTGAGCAGGTGGAGAAATTGGAACCCTCGTGCCCTGTTTATGGGAATGGAAAATGTGTACAGATGCTATGGGAAACAGTACAGCAGTTTCTCAAAAAATTAAAAATATAACTACATTATAACCTGGCAATTCCACTTCTGAGTATACTCTTAAAAGAAATGAAAACAGAGTCTCAAGAAGATCTTTTACACCCATGTTCACAGCAGCATTATTCACAATATAATATGTAAAGTGTGGTTGCAACTCAAGTGCCTACTGGCATTTAAATGGATAAACAAAATGTGGTATGTACATAAAAGAGAGTATTTTTCAGCCTTAAGAAAGAAGGAAATTCGGACATATTCTGCAACATAGATGAACTTTAAGAACATTGTGCTAAGTGAAACAAGTCATGTCAGGGTGGGGCAAAGGGAAATGGAGAGTTGTTTAGTGGGTATAGAGTTTCAATTCTACAAGATGAAAAGAGTTCTAGTGACAGCTGATTGCACAAAAATATGAATGTACTTAATCCCACTAAACTATATAGTTAAAAATGGTTAAATTAAGATAGTGTTATATAAAAACTGCAAAAAAAAGCAAGAATAAAATTAATGACAGAATTCTTACACAGCAAATTAGTACCTGACATTGCTTTCTATTAATAGGTGGTAGAATTTCAGACCGAGGAAAAGAACGGGCGCTTGTACAAGCTAGCCAATCATTAAGGTTGGTGGAGTCCTTCTGCTTAACTTTAGGTCTTCGGTGTGTTAAAGGCTTTGTCTTTTGTAATTGCAACTCCCATGGATCAGGCTCTTTTCTGAAGGGTGAATTGTATATTCCTGGAATCTAAAGAAGAAAAAAGCAATTTTTATTTTTATCCTTAATTTTCAGATGTAAGAAAAGAAAGATACAGTTGTACCATGAAATTTTTTCTTATGTTCAAAGAACATTTTAAACACCAACTGTGGTTCTTAACCAGAGGTGGACTTCAGATTTACCTAAGGGGATTTTACAAAATACTTATACTTGTCTTTACGCTACACAAGTAAAGGCAATTTCAACACCGTTCAAGATTGAGCACTAAACATTTTAAAAACTAGTGAGCTCACGTTCCTATCTGTCACACAGCCTTTTTATAACACTATACTTAAGAAAAAATTACAGTAAGACCCTAACTCATTCATTTTGTATTCTAACTATATGCTATGTATATTTAACTATACGTGTAAGTCACACATTCACTCACAGGAAGTCAAATATACAATGCTTGAACAAGTTTCAGGTACAAAATAAGTACTCAAATATTTGACTGATTATTTTAATTATTATTCATTACATAAACTAAGGGCAGCTGCCTTAACTTTTGTACTTTAATAATCAAATTGATATCACCTATAATGCTATAGGTATCACCTATAATATAGGCTATAATACTACATTATATATCGCTCAAAATAACATCCTGTATTTCATGAGTTGTATTCATGTGGTTAGGTGCTATGCTTCTGTAGTGTCATATTATCCTTGCTGTTCTATCACTGACTTTGTCACGCACTGCATCAAAATAGTCAAGAGTACCTACCACACAATAGAGGTTCAATAGATGTATGTGTGACAAATGTTAAGTTAAATTTAGCAGTGTCCATTTTTGAAAATTTAATGTTGTTTGAATATACAAACTGCATAGAACAAAATTTTGATGGTATTATATTTTAATGGCATTAGATATCAATCTTTGATATATGGTTCCATGAAGCCTTATATCAAAATATATACACATATGTGTACACATAAATATCATACACAAATGCATATTCAAAAGGGGAACTTACATTTTAAAGGGCAGTATGACTTGTTTGGTTTCCTTGTAGACACTCTGGACTATATAAAGAATATATCCATTACATTTATCTGTTCTTACTAAAACTGTGATTTCTCTTATGCCATCAAAATATCCATAAACATTTCTGTTTGCTACATTTACTTCATGGAATCAGCAGTTCCAAAGCATTAACTAAGATAGCTGTCTTCGAAAAACTGTCTAAGAAAAGTTTGTATTTCCAGCCTAACTCAACAATAAGTGTTAACCTCTATCAAATACCTACCCAGGCTGGATTCAACATCCTATCCCAAATGCAATATACTATCCCAAATGCAACGTCCTACCCCAATTGCAATGTCCTATCCCAAATGCAACGTCCTATCCCAAATGCAACGTCCTATCCCAAATGCAATGTCCTATCCCAAATGCAACGTCCTATCCCAAATGCAATGTCCTATCCCAAATGCAATGTCCTATCCCAAAGGCAATGTCCTATTCCAAATACAATGTCCGATCCCAAATGCAACATCCTATCCCAAATGCAACGTCCTATCCCAACGTCCTATCCCAAATGCAGTGTGCTATCCCAAATGCAATGTCCTGTCCCAAATGCAACGTCCTATCCCAAATGCAACGTCCTATCCCAAATGCAATGTCCTATCCCAAATACAACGTCCTATCCCAAAGCCAATGTCCTATCGCAAATGCAATGTCCTATCCCAAATGCAACGTCCTATCCCAAAGCCAATGTCCTATCCCAAATGCAATTGCAACGTCCTATCCTAAAATGCAACGTCCTATCCCAAAGCCAATGTCCTATCCCAAATGCAATGTCCTATCCCAAATGCAATGTCCTATTCCAAATACAATGTCCTATCTCAAATGCAATGTTCTATCCCAAATGCAATGTCCTATCTCAAATGCAACATCCTATCTCAAATGCAATGTCCTATCCCAAAGCCAATGTCCTATCCCAAATGCAATATCCTATCTCAAATGCAACATTCTATCTCAAATGCAATGTCCTATCCCAAATGTAATGTCTTATCCCAAATGCAAAGTCCTATTCCAAATGCAATGTCCTATCCCAAATGGAATGTGCTATCCAAAATGCAACGCCCTATCCCAAATGCAACATCCTATCCCAAATGCAATGTCCTGTCCCACATATTTCCTCACTATGGTGATAACCACCACAACACCTATCACATTACACTGTTTCAAAATTATATTTGCATATATGTCTTCCACAAGCTAGCAGTTGGAGCACAGAGAGTCTGTTCCAGGTATTTTTGCAACCCCAGGGCCTAGCAAGGTACATGGCACTTAGTAGGCACTCAATAAATGAATGTTAAATACTCATGTAGAATAACAACGCACAGTTCAGAAAGGCCCATGAAAACCTCTGTTTCACTCTTGCTTTCCAAAGCAACAAAAATATCTTAATAAAAAGTTAGAGACTTATTTCAAAATCATATTAACTGCTTTCAAAGAATATATAGATTATATCATTTTTCTCTTTCTTAACAGAACAGTTTAAATTGGCTTTAAAACACATTGTCAAAGACCTACTCGAGTCACCTCCAACTCAAATTTTCCTATTTTATAATTGGAGACTAAATTTTATTGAATGCAAAACAGTTAATGTAAATGCATTTAAACATTTAAAAATATTTTTGTATTGGCTCTTCTTTGAGATTTATTCTCTATTACAATTGATACAAGAAAAACATTGTACTGAAAAACATTAAAGATGGTTATATAAACCATTTTTAATGTCATATTAACATGTTCTAGCTATAACAGTAAATATGGACAAGGTAAATACACAGACAATAGCTTTCCATGGACAGTAATTTTTAAGTGGATGGTAATTACAAAGATAATTTCTAGGGTGATTTTCTAAGATTAGAATTTATTGATTGTAATGAGAAAAAAATAAATGTTATATTTTTAAAGACTATTGTGACATAAAGTATAACTAAATCTACAGACTATAAAAATGATACGAGAATACCATTCTCATCAGTGATGATCTAATAAACTGAAGTCTGTTAGTTTTTTATTAACATTGCTACAACCTTACAGATTAAAATGGTAAAATACATACAATTTAGCTAGATTATAATTTATCATTTGAAAATATCTACCTACCTGAATAATGGCTACCAGTTATTAACTTTACCCCATTAGAAATCCTCTTTGATCTCCTTGCACATTTGCATGCACTTGTATACATAGGCTAGATGGGAAATGCAAATGGATCAGTAGACATGATAGCTTTCTTAAATTATATTTTGCAACCTACATGGAGACCTCCTCATGTGTATTCTCTTTGCAATTTAAATCAAATATAGATCGAAAATATATTTTAATTGAATTTCAAATGTATCATTTAAAGTCTTCAAGGTGTCAGTATTTTAGAAATTAATTTAATACATTTGCTAAGTTATGTCAATAAAAACAGTCCAGCACTCCCACAATCCCTACAGCAAGTAAATACACTATTTATTTATATTGATACAGTATTCATTTACTTATTATTTCTTTAAATAAATACAATAACCTTAACATACTATTGTCTCAATTGCCATATTTCATCATTAGTAAGTCACTTATGAATAATGGTTTCTTGTTGATTTTTTAAAATATTACCGTGAGTCACAAAAGACAGGGTTAATCCTCAGGGACTATGGCATATTTTTCAGTTTTCACATTTTTCACAACTTAGAAGGGCTACTGCCAAGGTAGCTTTGGGGACTTCATTTTCAGCAATAATTTTCTAGAGTGACCAACACTATGGGGAAATCTGTGCTAACTGTTTTAAAAAAAAAAGAAAAAGCCTACAACTGAGTTATTTGCAGTACTGTCATGCTAACATTCAACTCAATAAGACCCAAGAAATCTCAGGAGAGGACTCTGCTAATAGCTTCTTACTGACCTCCTTGCATCAGGCCCGGCTGCTGACTGGTGGCCCAGTGGTGAATATGGCAAATGAGGTGTGAAAGCACTGATTTTTTTTAAAGGCTATGATTCTGACTCGTCAAAAGGCAAAAAAAAAAAAAAAAAAAAAAAAGGCAATGAGTTATATAATAGATATATATTTTTCTTGAATTCCCCCCTTCAGACTCTCCATCATGGGAACTTAAGCATGACCTAGAATATTAATTATGTCAGGTTGAGCAACGAGCAAATGTACCATTTGTTACCCAGTCACCCTTAGCATTACATTAATATTTTGAACCATTCCGTATTTCTAACAATCTATCAATTGGCCCTTTTCTTCTCAGTTTTTATTCTTATACCTAAGTATTATATGGAAAAGTGTTAAAACAGTACAATTGATTTGAAAATAAATGGATATACTTGTTTTATTTGAAGCATCTACTATTTTATTCCATAAAAAATGTTTTTTATGACCATTTTCCACTCATACACTGACCTTTACTTTGTAATTGCCTGGGGGAAGCTATAGTCTAATATTTTCCTCTTCTCTTTGTTACCAAGGTGTACTTTTAAAACAAGTTTCTATGAAATAGGAAGAATAAGACACAGGATAATGTACACCTACAATTCCCAAATCACAATTACTAATGTTCTAATTTCATAATTTACCATAACAGAAATAATAATTTCTCATGATTTCCAAGGAACTGCTCATTCTGGGTATGAAGAATGATTAAGTATTCAGGATAGGTGGAAGAATTCGTTTTAGTTTTACAAATGACAGTTATGCAGCAAAAAAGAGTGGCTGATCACAAGTAGGAATAAAATTTAAAACTATTTTCTTGCCTCTTGATTCAAAATTTCTGAATGCCATGAGAGACAAACAGTTCCTAAAGGAGGCTAAAATATGTTTGGATTCTAAGTTTTAATCACATTTGGCCTAAAAAATGATATACTAAGCCAGTAGGGAAGAGTAGTAAAAATCTCTCTCTAATAACTAGAAAAGTACAAGTGGGCCAGAGAACTGTGAATGAAATATTTGCTAGGGTAGGGACTGCTGAATCAACACTGACCAATG